GATGTAGATTTCTTTAGAAACTATGTGGAAGGGTCTCTTCGGGAGAAAGCCTCCAGCTGTGGTGTTTTTTTGTGTGTCGGACCAAATGACTGAAAATGCTCTTGTGTGCATGTGAAGAACTGGTTAAGGTTTTATCTGCACTGCACTGTATCTCCTCAACAATAAGCCAGTTTGGTTAAAATACTTTGCAAGTTCACAAAATGTAAAAGAATGATGCTGGGTGGGCTTGTGCTTTTGATATCTAAGACTGCTTTGATGAAAACAAGGTCCTGTTTGACTGTGGTTTACTTGAGCTGACCTGAGATTTTTTTCCTTCATATTTCCTCCCAGGAACATACACACTTCATAGCTGCACCACAAAATCTGAAGTAATTGGCCGCTGCGGTCTCCACATGCCAACAGTCCGGATCTTTGAGGCACAGTCCACTGAAACACCTTGGAATGTGTGACCCTCGAGGAAGAAGCAAAAATGGCTAATATTAGTCGGTTTTTGGGGCGGCTAAATGGGAAGATGGACAACTTTTGGTGCCAGCGTGTTTCTCTGTGTGTGTAGTTGAATGCACACTTGACTGTTAGAAAGCCTCCAATTTTCCTCCAAGGTGGGTGGATGGGCGAGGAGCTCAGAGAGAAACCCACTGTGAAGAGGCTCCTGCCTGGTTGGACGCAATCCAGAGGCTCCCATCAGTGGGAAGGCCTACGGGGGTGGCTGTGTAATTTAAGAAGTGTGCAGATTGAAGCGAATGTGAAGCATTAAACAGTGGAGAAATTGCCAGGCGCTGCCCCATAGACTCTGTGGTTGGTCCTTTGTGGCATCACTCTTCAATCTAGTTTCCGTGAGGCTTTGGTACTCAAATAAAGAGGCAAAGATCGAGACGTTCAATGAGTAAAAAAAGAGAAAAACATTTTGTGATCTTCTAATGCAGAACTAATTGGTGGTTTTTGCAACGAGAGGGCTGTGTGACTGAGGCCCCCGTGGTATTTATCCAGATGGTGAGCGTGGCTTAAAGCATTTCAGAGGCAGCTTAACAACAGCACTGAGAATGACTTCCTTCTTGGCATGGGTTTGGAAATGGAAATCAGGGACTGTCAATGTTAGAGTGCCACTACATCGTCTCAGTCAAGATTTTTTTTTTTAACAATCTCCTTTGAGAATTTGTCATTTTAATCACTCATCCGTTACTGCAAGGCTAGTCCACAGATGGCAGAACTTTTAAGTTGGAACCTTAAACCCCGATGATCAATCAGCCGTGAAAATGGAACCTCTTTTTCTACTAATGTTGGAACCTTTATATCAAACTGGCAGGTATGTTGCAGTATGTAAAAAATGACAGTCTTGAAAATAATGCATGTGCTGGGAATTACCAGGGCCAGCAAATACTCTGAATTCAAATGAACTTATTTGTGTTTATTGCTAAGATATGCCATTTTAAAGTCAACAAACTCAATTCCTGTGGGTCAAATGGCAGAAAGCAGTCTTTTTTCCAGAGGAATCAAAGTGCCTGTTCCAACTCAGTAAATAGGAATGCTTTAAAATCCCAGATTAGCAGTCTTTGCCTCTGCAGCTTCTGTAGGATTAATGTTTAAGATAAGATGGAAATGTATTACTTTAAAAAAAAAATGCTGGTGATAAAGAGGCTCAGTGTGAAAAACAGATTTTATGTATTTAATTTTTTATTCATCTGAATAAGGCAATGCTTGACTTCACACTTTTTCCTAATGCCATGGCATCATCTCATTACAGTTTCCATGTTCTCATTTCTGTACTTCACACTTGTTTGCTTCTGCCCTCTCTTTTCCAAATTTTTAAGAGTTTCCGTGGGTATCTTGCTCTGGTTTCCTTGATTTATATTAGTGATAGTCGGGAGGCGGTTTTCCGGCCTGTTGTTGCCTGAGAATCTTTGTGTTTCTCTATCTGACGTTGCGGGGCCTTAACCTTAACAAGTGAAGACCTGTCTGGGGATATGATGTAAAATGAAAAAAAATAAATGGAAAAACAAACATTTTAATCAACAGGTCCCAATAGAGACAAGACAAGCCAGAGTCTGAGCAGGCACTGTGTCGACAATACTAATGCTAACCTAGAGGAAACTAATTGATCATTACAAAGATATCACAAACACATGCAGAATTGTTACAAATTGTGACTGTCCAGTCACATACATCATATTTCTCATATCTGTCTCAGTTTCAAGACAAATATAATGTATGCTTTAGGGCAGGGATCATTGCACGAATGGCAGAGGTGAAGACCCCGAACTAAATCCGGTGTGTTGGAGCAGGGAAGCACCTAAAACCTGCAGGACAGTGGACATCGAGGCCCTGAGTTTGAGGTCCCTGCTTTAAAGTGAGCCCTGGAGTCATGACGATTACTGGGCCGGATACTCACAATATCTTAATTTCAATTTAACTGAGCGCAAAATCTCTGGTGACGTTTAAAAAAAAATTACAGCAATCTTTCCATTTACTCCAATATACCTTCACCATCTTAATGTTACATAATATTTACTGGAAGTTAAATGAAGGAAGTTAAACAACTGTGATGTTGTTGGCAAACACTGATACTAACGTGAATGTCAGTAGGACAAGAAAGTTCTTTATGAAATTAATGCACAGCCCTTGACAAAAGTATTGTTATCCTTCATCCTATTATCTTTAAATTTTAATCAAAAGTCTTTGGTGGCACAGCAGCTGATTCCACCACAGTTTTTCTTCTGACTTGTCTTTTCATTCTTTGCACATCCCGACAGCTATCAATATGATTTTGTGGAAAGAAGAAATCGGTGGCTCCCAACTCTTTCGTCTACTTACTTTGCTGTCGTAGCTTTCGTATTGATCTTGTTCTGGGATCAGATCATCATCTGCAGCGTTATCATCTTCAGGTCCTTTAAATCTTGCAAACTCTCTGACTTTCCATAGCTTTCAATAACCTGCCATTTTTTCTGTCTTTTCTTTAAAGGTTTATCTTTAATGCAAAAAAATCAAGTCAGTTTGAGGGAAGAATTGTAAAGTGAAGAAAGGGATAAGAAGATTAGTCAGACCATGCCGCATCCTGGAAGAGTCGGGCCATCTTGCAGAGAATGCTCTCTTATAATTTCTGTTTAAGACCACCGCTAAATGGTTACATTTTGTCTTGCTGGTTGTTTTACAGGAAAAGAGAAATGGCTAAGTGAACCAACAAAACCACAAATTAGCAAGATGGTTTTGTGCCCAAATCTGGTTCTCCACAAAGGTAGCCCTTTTTGTTTTAGCTTATTTTGAGAAGGAATGAAGTCCTCATACTTCTGAAAAAACACTAATGTGTTCATTTATAGTCATTGTACTGATAATGAAGATTTGTATAATTCAAACTTATTTAAAATACATGGCTGCTACCTGCAGTAAAAGATATATTTAACAGTTATGGCCATGAGAGGCAGAAATGGAGGCCGATTCTATCATTTTACCTCACTAATTCTATCCTGAGGTCCAGTCCGACAAAGACTGCTTCAAACCCTCAGAAATTACCAATGGCTTCTCTCACACATATTCTGAAAGACGAATAAAGTCAACTCAATTAAAGTGTGGAACTTATTCAGGCAAAAAAAAAAAAAAAGTTTTGAGGATTAACTTTCAAATCTTGTGAAAAGATGAGCTGTCTCCAACGAAGTCATAGCCCCTTGTGTGTTTTTTTCTTTTCTTTTTTTTTTCTCAACCATCATCCCAAAACTGGCTTTCGCTTTGCTACCATTTCCGATGAGCTCCCAAGCTGACGGGCGCATTAGAGCCCATGCTGCTCCCAGTTTTGCTGCCACTTTCAGAGGGAAAAGAGGCTGACATGTCCCAAAGTCCGGAGAGACGCAGCCGAGACCTGCTGTGCCAGGCGATCTGAGTGAGTATCATAATGACTGCCTTTCAAAGGAAAGCCTGACTCTCTAACCACAGCCATGCAGAGCTTTTGATCTCCCACTCTCCAATCCTCTCTCCCCCATCCCTTCCCTCCTCCCTCACTGTTCACTTTTTACAGAAAATTCTAATTAAGTGGAAAGATGGAGATGATGAGTGCAGAGTTGTCTCCCCGCCACCCCCTCAAAGAAGAACAGTATGTGTCCGAGACCCGCTAATTTAAAAGGCCTCACCTTTTCCACTGAAATATAAAAATCAATATGTTCCTCTGCCTCAACATCCAAAGGGCAAGCGTGTGAACTAACAGCCCTGTTTATGCCTCTAAAGGTTAGATCGCATTATTTGATGCAAATGACCTCAGTACTTTCTTGAAAGACGACGGAATGTTTGCGTGATTTATGCCGTCAGGCTAATTGGAAATAAACTTAGAAAGGTTTGCAGAACCCACAGAGACTGACACGCGGTGGTAATTCAGGGTAGTAGGAAACATATGGTAAAACTGACACACACAAACACGCTGCCTGAACGGATCAAGCTTGCTTTGTTCTCCCTTCCCGATATGAGACCTTGTTTCGTCTATTTTCCTGGCTGTGCTTGTTCCCTTTCTCAGATCTGGCGATGAAAGCCATAAGTGGGAAACAAAAACTAATTCAAAGCCTTATTTCGTCCATGAAAATGTCTGAAAGTTTCCTTTCTCTCCAATTAGTTGGGATCACATCTGTAACTTGGAGTGTAGGAGCAGCTTTTTTCAGATGCTGAGCACCCATGTGCATTTGCGTGACCCAGAGTCTTTTTTTTACTGTGGCCTGTTTCTCACTCATTATGCTTTGTTTTGGCAGATGTTTCCGTTGTTCTGTTGCTGAGTTCTCATTAGACTTTAATTATCAGCATGCAGGTGCACAGTGCAACCTAAACTATCAATAATTAACGGATTAATCTTTTAAGCTGGTTTGGTGCAGAGGTATGCGGAGCACTCTCTGCAGAATGAACGCTGAGAGCTGGCTGACGGAGAGACAGATGGAGACAAAATTACCATCTCATCTCTTCATGTCCCTCTGTAGCTATATTTGGTCCGTGCTGTCAGATAATGGTAGATGAAAAGCCGCTGGCTTCCTTACCTGTGGCCGAGGATGGCCCGTCACCAGACATGTGAGCTCCAGGGTTTCTCCCTCCCTGATGGTGTAGACTCTCTCCGTGTGTCTCTCCTCCTCAACATTACAGGCATGCCCCGAGTGTATAATGCGGACAGTCGGAGGTGCTGATGAGGGAAAGGGACACGGTGTTAGCATTCTACTCATTCCAAGGGAAAAGAGCAGTTTAGTGCAGTGGAATGTGTATTGATTAAAAGGTTCTCTCACTAAAAACAAGGCTATTCCTGGGCTTTGTGCAAGCATTTTCTGTACACTCCGTGTCATGCAAACAAGCAGAGGCATTTGTACTCGATGACAATGGGGGGAAAATGTCATTTTCGCAGAATTCTATTTGGTGGGGCCTGTTTTTTTATTTTTATTTTCTTACCGTACCAAATAAATGAGGGAAAGTAACCTTCATATTACTTGATGCTGTCTTTTTTATTCTGCTTCGGTTACTGTGATTTTGTAAGATCCTGGACCCCCTTTCTTTCTATTGCATATTTACTTTTAGTGAAAACATACATTTTTTAGGTCTAAGTGTACACATCCAGACATATACGTAGATAAACAACAACAAAAACAACAGAAAAATTAAGTACATATGATTGATTATTAAATCCCTTTTACCAGCAAAAACTAAAAACTTGAGTCTTATGTGTGCAGTTTCGGGTCTGTTTCAGCACTGTGAGGGGATTTTGGTCCACTCTTCTTTGTAATATTGTTTCAGTTCAATGAGATCATTGGCCTCTCTCTTAGTTTCCCACTGGAACTGATATATGAGATATTTTATTAGCAAACATAGCTGTGTGCTAGTTTGCAGTGTACTTAAATGCAGTTTTATCAAGGTAGTATTTATTAATAGTTATTTTTTAAGCAGCACGATAAATAACTTTCACTTTACAGTGAAAGGAGTTCATGGACTCGATGAATGAAAGGTGTCCAGTTTCTGTAGCAGCGAAACAAGCTAAAATTTCCATTTCAAAATCGCGATGCTGATGAAGATTATGACCTAATATTTCCACTTCATAAAAAACCTTTCAAAAATATCAAATGTGTTCAGCCTTTGAATACCTAACATTTGACACGCAAACAAAGACCCATAGAGTCAGAGATGTGGCTCTCAGGTATTTCAGTGTCATGAACATTGCGTAGTGTGACCTTGGCAAAAAAGCTGCAAGGCATGAAAATGTCCAGTTATATTGAATGTTATCCAGTTGTGAATACATTTCTCAATGTAGAAAAATGGATAAGATAAGTTTATTATTTTTGGGATTCAGGTATGTGCTAGAAAGGTTCATTATCAAATCATTTATGAATACAATACATTTTCATAAAGATATCTAATCAATTCTCTGGTATTCAAAAGTAATAAATCGACTGGAAGCTGCTCTGCACGACGCATTGCCATTTGTTCATAAATTAGGTGTTGTCAGACATTATAGGCTGGCAAACCCATCATTTAATAATGTCAAACTGTATAGAGGAAAGTGTCTTCGGAAGCAAGAAGCTAAAAAAAATCTTAATTTCCAATGAGCTGTGAAAACCCGGGAGCATGTATTCGACCCCTGACGGTATCCACATCCGTTAAGCATTTACTCCTCTCCAGCTTCCATGATTAGAGAAGGAGTCTGGGATGAGATGAGTTGGAGCAGATGCAGGGTATAAGGAGAAGGAGAACAAAACGATGAAAGAAAAAAAATGAAAGGAGCAGAAACGGCGAGGCCTTACAGACGGCAGCTCTCTTCCTGGGCGGGCCTCTCTCGGCAGAGCAGCAGCCTCAGCTCTGCCTCCATCCACGCTGCCATGCTAATGAGCTCAGCGGCACTCCTCCCTGATGCTGCTTTGGGAATCTCAGCCAGAGTGTATCCTTAGCCACCCACTAACCACTTGTCCCTCCCTGATACCAGCCATGCTGTCTGTCTTCCTCAGCTTGTTGCTTTAACGCTTCGTCATGCCTATCCTGCATGTTTAAAGTCCAGCGGACTGATGGACGCTAATACAGATGCTAATTATAAATCCTCAAACTATCCTTCCTCCTCCACTCCCCTGCTTTCACCTCTCATTTTAGAGCTGAAAAAGCTGGTGGTGAATCCTCCTGGGAGGGTAAGGGCCTCAGAATTAGGAGCAGTGAAAGAGGGCTTCACGCACGGCTGCCACTTAAAACAAAAAGGCTTAGAAACAAGACCCTCAGGCACGAGCCAAACAAAGTGCTGATGCCATTTATCCCAATGAGCCAGAATCTCTGTAGCATACAATCAGTCCTGGAGGGAAGCAGGGAAACACCCATATTTAATGATCTTCAACTGCTATCACACTTACTGCAACAGCTACACACACAGACACAGACAGCAAAAAACCCATCCCCTTATTCTTAATGCAGACAACACCAGGCTTAAAGCCACAAAAACAAATAACTCTCTCTACATAATGAGGACTCTTATGTTGTAATAGCCACACATATCCTTAAGTAGCTAAGACCTGCTCTTTCATATCCCTTGGCCTTAAGCACAAACTAAAATCGCTCCATAATTTCCTGTTTGCTCAGTTTCATGAAAAGCACTTGATACTCTACCGACAGTAACCACCCATAGAATATTCCGACAAACCCGTCGGAGAATGGATGAAGAGTTACTGGCACAGCTTAATTCAAGGCTGAGCCGAGTCAGACTGAGATGTCAGAACACTGACCAAGGTCCAAGAAAGAAAAAAAACGTGACGAAGCTTTGAACGTGTTACAGACAGCTAGCAACAGCTGGTTATATTCCTCACCATCCAAACATCACACAGCTTCATTATGTGGGCCGGGATGACGTCTTCTGCACCAGCGAATGTATGATGTAAGATGCCTTTCATCTTTTCAATCTCCTCTAACTCCTTACATGTTTTAGGCAGAATATCAACTTTTTCTCGGTTTTAGGCAAGTAACTGCCTCTCACCAAACGGGGTGAGGAACTCCTTTGAACATCCGTCTATCATGTTGCATAACCAGAATCAGTGTTCTGCCATGCCTCTGATCCACACACGTGTGTGTTTGGTCTTATTATTCCGTCTGATATAAAATAGAAAAAAATAAAACGATGCCCCCAAGTATTTATCCCGTCTCTTTCGGGATGGATAAAAACACTGCAGCTGTGCGATCAGCCAATTTCAGGAGATTCTGTTCAGGTTTACGCAACATAAAGCTGGATGAAAGCATGGAATTACAATGTCAGAAAAACACTTGTGATATAAGGGTAGAGTTCAGCCAGAGAGAGGTTTGTGTGGCTGGCATGATAATGGTGATGTTACGCAGCTTTCAATAGTTTCAGTGAGAAAATTTGTTAAATACAACCGACTTTTTCACTTGAATGAGCTGCAAACATTGATGACTTTGACTGTCAGTTGAAGGTTTGTAATCTGTGGGCGGAGTTGAATTTGTAATATCTACATTTGTCCAGTTATCCTCACAGTATCAAAACCTCGGCTATAAAAATTGAGATTCTGAAATGCTGCGCACGAAGGCTGTTGGCGATTTTATTATCTGTCTGCAAAAAACAAGCACACGTATAGCAGGTGAAAACAAGAACGATATATTTGACTGCAGATGACTTGTAATACAGTATGTATTAATTCAATTTTGACCTAATAAACCTTCTGTATTCCATCCATTATTAGCAACTGTAAGGTTTTACATGTACCATGACCAAATTTAGGGGGCTTTTTCTGTAACCTTTAACAATACAAGCCATTTCCATTTTTTAATTAATGGCTTTATTATAGGCATTCAACTATTTTCTATCACTACAAGAACATAAGAACTAAACAGAAGAAAAGAGATTAAATTAAGATTGAGAAAAAACGATAAATATAATACAAATGTCAGTATTTTACCGAGTATTACAGAGATCTCAGTGATGAAGTGTAACTACTTACTGATTTATTAACACACGCCCTTCTCTTTTGTGCTGTAAAACTACTGCCTGTCTGTTAATGTTTAAGAGAAAGTTAAATGCAAAAAATTGGATTAAAAAAGACTGCAAACGTTAGGAAGCTATGGTGATGCAGAAACGTGCATGTCAGCATGCAGCTCCCGCTCACATTACCTTAATTCAACCAGATCTCTAAAGACAAAGACAGCGTCCTGATATGTACGGGCGTAGGAAGCAGTGGTAGAGGACCTGCAGGCTAGAAGCAGGAGTCTCAGATGCTCATCCATTCTTTCATTTCATTATCTCAGTCCACAACTGTGAAGCCACTGTCCCATTACAGAAATGAAGAGGACACAAGAGCCTAAGCACATACAACCGTGCATGTTGTATGCTTAGTTTAGTGCGTCCTCTTAAGCCTCCGCTGAACATGCATACAGGCCTGTATAGTAAGTTGAGAGAGAGTGTACATTATGTCATTGTGTAGTGCCTGAGCAGCTCCCAGTCCAGTGCCCAGCTTTCCTTGGCCTCAGTCGGGGGAGATGGAGACAGCTTTATCCACTACCACCAATGGAGATTAAATTGGATTTGGCTAAAAGCAACCTCGGCACTGCGGTTCTGGAGAGCCTGTGTGGCAGAAGGGCTTTTTGGCACTGGCAGAGACTCTAAATTTGACAAACAAATGAATTTGAAAAAAGAACTCCAACAGCTGGGGCTTGTTGTCGCCGTGGGTTTAATGTCCTCAGACCAACCCCTAAGGGCCACTAACAATATCCTGCTAGTTTTCTGGCTCCATGATCACCTCCTAGGAATGGGCGCGACAAATATGTAGAAACAGGAGAGAACAAGACACAAGAAGGGGGAGACATATGTAAAATGTATATGGACCACGCAGAGCAATTGTTTGCTACAAACTTCAGAAATTCTCAGTGATATACACTGGAAACAAAGTACTTACAGGTTGGAAAAGCTACTGGAACATTAATCAGACCAACAACAGACCAACAGCAGATACATTCATATCTGGTACAATGCTTGGTTTGTTAAATGTGGAAACTCGGTATTCACCTGCAGTTTATCACAGGATATCACCCTCTCATTTTCAAACTGCTGTTTTCAGCTTGTGGATTAGTCATTTAGCCATTTATCTTTTGTGTTTTCTGAACTAATTTTCTGACAAAAAATGCATGAATGCTGCCGAGAAGACCAGGACACCATCTGAATTCAGCACTACTTCTGAACTGGCTTCCT